AGCAAAATATTTCAAGTAGATTTGTAGGAGACTGAGTGCCCGTGCCAAAGGTGCTGATTAGCAGCTCCGGCCACCCAGGATGAGGGATTCCATTTGATCCTGTTGAGATCACCATCTACTGATGTGGATAAAAGAGCCACCAGCAAACTCACCACACGTGGGGATGGCACCAACATTGATGACTGGGTGACGTATTAAGGCCAGAATCAAGAGCCAAAAGACTGCCTCTACAGGTTGGAATGAAGCACTAAAATCCATTGGAAAGAATTGACGGGAATAAATATGACATCTTATTTGGAGCAAACAAATCAACCCCATCAACACAGGATAGAGAAAGCTCAGCTCCCATCTTTTCAACCGAGGAAAGGGGAAAGAAAAGATGTCAGACTGTGCTTGCTTGTTATATGTTGATATATAAGGCTCACAACAAACAGCTTGTTGTCATTTTGGAACTACTGAAAGCAATATATTTGTCAGGTGTCATAGTCCCACCACACTATGCTAATAAGATCACACCTAGAATATTGGGTGCACTGCCTTAATAAACTGGTGAGTGGGGATGGAGGGTAGCCAGCACAAGGGGAGTGAGTACTGCAGACCATTTCAAAGGTATCATTGTAGCTGTGAGGGGCTGTCCAGTCGATTCCGACTCAGAGCGGCAAGATGTACAGCAGAAGGAAGTGACTGGGACCAGCACCCAGCTCACTGTTGTTGCTCGGTTTGAGTCTGTTGTTGCCGACGCTGTGTCCATCCACTTCAGGGAGGGTCTTCCTGTTTTTCTTCTGATCCTCTACCAAGCACGATGTCCTTTTCCATGGATTGGTCTCTTCCTGGTAAACAGTCCAAAATACGTGAGAAGTCTCCCCATCCTCACTTCTAAAGGAAGTGTCCCGGCTGTACTTCCTCCCAGGCAGATTTGTTTGTTCTTCTGGAAGGCCATGGTTCTTTCAATAGTCTTTGCCAACATCCTCATCCAATGATATCCCTTCTTCTCAGCAACTAAGTTCAATAGGTTTGAAGAATTGAGATCTCCTCACTCAGATTTCAAATGATCTCCAGCAACTGTCAATACGACAGAGGTTCACACAGAAAGGTTTTGTTGTTTTGTTTTGTTTAAATGTCTGTGGCTCTAGGAGTGAGCAGAAGGAACCCGAGTGGCACATGGGTTAAGCACTCAACTGTTACCGGAAAGATTGGTGGTTGGAGCCATGGCCAGCCTCTTCCACAAGGGAAACCCTGGGAGGCACTTCGACCCAGTCCTGTAGGATTCCTTGAGTCAGAATCAAATATGCCAATGGATTTGATCTGGGTTTAGGAGTAAAAGGTAGACATAAATGCTCATTCATCACTGGCCAAGATGCAGGGGTCCTTCGCGATGAATTCTAGTAGCTGTTCAAACTTCCAAGTCCTTGCCTCAGCTGCCTTAAGAACCATTCTATCGGGTCTTGAGCATAAGTACAGACAGAGGCCCCTATGCGGCTGACCTAAGGGCCACTGTGAGTCAGAGCTGAGTTGGCGGCACCTAACAAAAACAAAAGAAGAGTCGTCGTGCCGTTGATAATAATGGTTTAAGAAACAGGGTATATGACCCGTGCTCTCGGGGCAGGCACGGAGGGAAGAGATGCTTGCACCAGGAAGCAGGGGTGCTCCCCCAGTATGGGGCCACCAGGTGCAGCTGGAGCCTCCAGGGAGCCAATCAAGAGGGCATCCCCAAAGGATGGAGACTGCTCCCGCTGGCTTTAGGCTATTATCTTCACGGGCGTCATTCCTTAGCACCCACTGAAGACCCGTGGGACGCAAGGGGTTGGGAAATCTTTGTGAAGTCCTGCGACAACCTGGCTGAGCGCTATGACCTGGCATAGGCTCAAGTGACAAGCCTGTGGACCAGAAATGCGTGTGTGTGTGTGTGTG